AAGCCTTTTCCCTAAGGCCTAGCAAATAACCTGTAATAATGAATGAAAGAAACATAATCTGCTATTTTTCCATTCTTCCTGTCCATGAGCACAGAAAGAGACCTTAGGAATCATGTAGTCTGACCTCAATTTACAGATAAGGAAAGTAGAGCCATGAGGGAGGTGAAGGTTACTCCAACACAGTTACACAAAATACATTCTTCCTACAACAGACACTGATAAATGTCCCCTACCATTTTTCATTCATCAGTTTATTAGTCTTCTATATATTCTACCAATACCAAATTATGTTAACTTTGTCTTGTAATATACAGTAAGGATAGCTACAATAGAGGAACTTTTTAGTTGGCATTTCTATAAAGCAATTCAAAGTTCATAGCTCAATATTTAAGTCATAACATTCAACATTAAGAAAATGAATTTTAAAAAATAAACACAAAACACTATTTCAAAAAAATACACTACGTATAGGCTAGTTTCAGGATCATTTTTTTTTTTTAATTGTAAAGGTGTATCTAAGTTTCATAGTTGTTTTCATAAGGCTCCTTCAGTTCATTTTTAGGGGAGATTCCCTGCTTCTGCTACCACAAACATGCACCTCCTGTTATTAAGAATTTATAGACTGCAGAAGAAGTTAGAAACAAAGCACCTAGCTAACCGGGAAAAAAGCAACTTGAACCCACCATTCTCTACTATAAATAAATTAAGACCTTTGAGTCAAGAACAGCAAAAGCCCTGTTTTCACCTCAGTAGTTGGCTTCAGAAATACTGCATGTGAACATTTTAAAATCATTTTTAGGTAAATTTATTTTCAAATTCTTGAAAGAGACCATTCTAAGATCTTTTATAATAAGACTAAAGTATATAAATTTAAATGATTTTTCGGCATTGGTTATCTTTCCACGAAGCAGTTTTCAATCCCAATTTGTCACAGAATTTTTTTTTAAATTACAGGCACTTTACTAGGTATTCTGATGTTTCTTTTAGACATAAAAGACATATCTTTTAAATATTAATTTTCAATAGAGATTCTAAAACTTCCCAATGATCTTCTCTAGCTACCAACATAGTCATGATTTGCAGATATACAGCCAATTTAGAGTCTCATTAAAGATCTTGGGAAGAAAAGACATTAACAGCACATCTAGTGTTATATCCTGTACATGTTGTCAGAGTAAAGTTCATTTTGTCGTAATATAAGATGCTAAATTTACAGACTCTTTAGATAGACAGAGGTAGATATTGTCAATTAATTTTACAGATAAGGAAACTGAGACTACAAAAGATGAAGTGATCATCAAATGGTCACACAGGAAATGGCAGTGGCTAGTATTCTAATCAAAGTCTGGCACTCTTTCCAATATGCCACACTGCCAAAGAGGTTTACATTAACACTTCTCTAAATAGAAAATTAAAGAGCAACTAAGAGTTAGGATAGCTGCATTGTTTCCAGGCTATGGGGGGAAAAAAAAAAAGAGTGGAACTACTATAATCTTTTTCCTGCCAACCAAACAGGAAATAGTAAGGCACCCTGTATTATTAGCCCTCAGAACAAGAGATCAGTTTCAATCTCATTACTTACACAGCAATATGGTTATTTTTTGTTTGCTTAGAGAATTACTGTGTTATAATTCACTGATGAGTAGTATGTAGTAAAAAGCCAAGACTTTCTTAAACAAAAGACTTTAAAAGCAACCTAAAAAGAATTTGCATTATGCCTGAAAGCTTCCAAAATGAAAATATATAAAGCTTAAAAACAAAAGCTCTTTCAACCTATGTTAATGAGCCCTGTGCCACCACAGAGCTCAGAAAATTCAGAGATCAAGAAGGAAAGCAATTACCATAAGTAGCATTATAACAATTTATAATTGATAAATTTAGTTTTAACACTCTAGATTCCTTAGTAGAACACAAATAAAGTTGAAGGACTTTGATGGAAATTTTTTTCAGAAATGCTGAATTTTTAAAATTTGTATTTTAAGCACAGTGCTGGGTTTATAGTACACCCTCAATTACTTGACTGATTGAAAATCTTAACCAAATCGTTATATTTACTCACAAGGAAATACAGACCTAAAAGAACAAAAATCAATCATCTCTTTAACACTGTCTTATGAATTAGTACCCTGCATATCATAATTCTGAAACTGTGCTGTGCTGTTGCTAAAATATATCTGTATGTCATTTGATAAGCTAGATATAGATGCATATATATATCAAATACCATGTAAATCAATTTACTTTTTTTCCAACGATTTGCACTATATTGTCATTCCGGACAGGAAAAAAAGTCTCTAACACATAGAAAAATTGTGCTCAAAAATACACAGTAAAATTTTATAAGCACATCTAATGCCCAAATTCCAAATTAAATTCCACTGCTCCCTTTAGGGCAAAGAAGCTCAAAAACCTGGATGCCAGTTTCAAAAAGATGCCCTCTGCAGTCTCTGGTGATTCAAAGAGTTATAAACAAACCATTAAAAGGGTTTCCCAAGTGTGTGCCTTATCTTCAGTTCTCAAATAGTTCTTTGGTAATGAAGAGTATCACTTTATTATTTTTCCTATTCTGCATAGAATACACCCATGGTCAAAACTAAGTTTGCAGTGCCAGATAAAAATGAACAAGTACAAAATAATACATCCTTCCTCTCCCAAAACAGCCCAGAGACTGAAACATTTTTAATAAATTATAGAGAAGAGTCAAGGATCCTAAAAAGCCCTAGATCCAGAATTTGCAAGTACTATATATCAAATCTCTAGTGACTGAGGCTCAGTATGTTTTATTAGAAAACTTAAAACAAAAACTTTTCAATAATAATAATAATACCTAACATTTAAAGGGTTATATAAGGTTTGCAAAGTACTTTACATAGGTCATCTCATTGTACGCTCACAAAAATCCCATAACGTCAGTGCTAAGAAAACCTCAATAAAAGCTTTCCTATATTAAAATATTTCTATATCTCTTAACAGGTACACTCATATTTTTTAAATAAACAAAGAAACACCTAAAAAGATATTGTAAGTGTAAGTATTTTAAAGGTTAGGGAAACTAAGGTCAAAATCAGATTGTTACATATATTCTATAGTATTTGCAAAAAAGGGGCCTTTCAAGTCACACCCGACCAAATTATAATACCCATCATGAATACAGGCAATGAAAGCATAATCTGCCCTACTTTTAAATACACCATATCCATAAAAAGGCCAAAAACATGAGAAAACTTCTTGCTCATTCTCTTCTCCCAAAGAAAACATTTCCTAGTCTAAGACTAATGAAAAACCTGCCTACAACAAAAATTCAAATATTATTTCCCTTCCTGCTTCTCTCACTACCTACACATTGCAGAAGTAATATTCTGTGTAAAAGACAGTATTTTTTTCCCTCTTCTGAGAATGGGAAATACCTTCTGACAGGAAAAGTAAACCAAGCATTCTGAGTGAAAATTCTGCAGTTTATGTTTCAGTGACAAACTGACAAATTGTTTACTGAGATGCTACTTCACTGCTGGGGGGGGGGATGATAAAATTCTTCAGAGTCGTTCGTCTGTTTCTTTAAAAGTCACTCTATTCACTCTTTTTTGTAATCAAAAGTATTAACTACCGAACGAAACTTTTCATAACAGCAAGTCCACAGCTAAGGCCAGCCAGCCTCCAAGTAGCCTGCTTTCCATGGTATGTATGAACATGTGTTTTCTTTCAATGAAGAAAAACTAACTGGTAACCTCAGTGCTTTGAATCCATTGAGAAAGGGGAAGTTTTTAGTGCTGCACACAGAAACAAACTAAATTAACTTACTAAACTCATTCTAGATCTTCAAAATTTTCGTAAAAAATTGTAACAACTTGCAACAAAAAGTCGTCTAAAGTCACAGCATATGGAAAGAGGAAGAGGAAGCACTTGTTTGCTGGTGGTCTTTAATGATTCTGTACTTCAATAGCACATATACAGCACATACTATATCCTTTACATGCGCTCTTATTTTTAAGTTAAGTATTCAGCTACAGTTAAGTTTTTAAGTAAGAATTGTAGGCGGGAAGAGAGTGGCAGAAACTCTTCAAAGACCGACGCAGCGCTCGCTTGTTGACAAATGGACTACTACGGCGGCCAGGCAAAGGCAGCTCCGTCCCCAGCTGGGAGCCGGCTGGGTCCGGAGCCTTATCGCGGCCGAGTGAGGGAGCACATACCACAATCAATGACATCAGATCGAAACTAGCCGGTTTCACCGGGAGCGGACGATCCCTCCAGCGCAGCGGGGACCGCCCGGCTGCCCCCGCCCCTTCCCCTAGCCGCGGGCCTCCCCGCGCCTCCCAGAGCACCCCCGAGGCTCCCGAGCGGCCGGCAGGGGAGCGTCCCCAGCCCAGGGTCCGGCTCGGGAGGGAGGGAGGATGCACCTGCCTCGGCGTCGCCCACAGCGGCCCCACCCGAACGAGCCTTCCCTCCTGTCACCTTCGCCAACTCCCCAGGCCGGTATGTCTTCTCCTCCTCCTCTGCCGCCTCTGCCTGGGCCGGACGATCGATCCCCGGGTGGGTCGTCTACAGGCTCCGTCCGGCGGAGCCCGCGCTGCCGCCCCCCGGCCCCGGTCCGAGCCCCTCCCCCTGGCTCGGGGCTAAAAGTCGGACAGCTCCTGGGGCGGGGCCGCGCCTCAGCGTCCCACTCACCTGGCCCCACGTCGGGGGGAGAATAGCGGGCTCGGCGCCCCCACAGGAGCCGGGCCGAGGGGGTCGGGGGGCCATCCCGGCGCAAGCCCGCCAGAGTCAACAGGTGGGAGGTCCCCTCGGTGAAGATGTCCCAGCACCTCCACATCCTGGCCGCCGCCGCCACCGGCGGGTCCTCGTCCCTCCCGGGGCTCGGCCCCCGACGGAGCGGCTGGCCAGTGGGCGAAAAAAGGGAGCGAGCGGTGGGAGCGTCCCCCGCCCCTCGCTGGCCGAGCTCCGGGCCCTGCCCCGACCCCGGCCTGGCTCGCTCCCGCTCCCGCGCCGGCCCCACAGCCTCTTACCTTGGCGGCCGCGGCTCTGGCGGACATTTTGTGCGTCTCTCCCGCGCCAGCGAGGCTCCTCACGCTAAGGCAGAAGCTCCAGCTCCGCCGCCGCTTGCTCCTCTCACGCCACTGCCCAAATAAACATCTCCCGGGAGCGAGCGAGCGAGCGGGCCCGGGGGGCGGGGGCCGGCGGCGCAGGCCCGGCCCAGGGGGAGGGGATTCAACTTGGACAAAAGTCCCGGAGTCGTTCGGCGTCGGCCGCTCGGCCCGGGGCCTCCTGGGTGGGGGAGCCGAAAGCCGAGGCGGGCTCAGCGGGGCAGCCGGGGCTGGGGCGACCCCAGGCTCTTTCCTCTGACCCAGCTACCACCCGGCTCTCCCAGCAACCGGCGCCATGCCAGCCGGGGCCAGGCCGGCCTCGTCACCCCGTCCAGCCGAGACCGCGGCTCCGCGGAGGAGAGGATTCGGACCCAGGCCGCCAGCCCCCGGGAGTTACCGCCTTCTCCGGCTTCGGAGGGGCCCTCCGAGCCCTGCTTCAACAGCCTCCCCGCTGGGAGGAGAAGGGGCTGATGCGCCACAAGAAGCCGGAGCCGAGGAACCCCAGGCCGGCCAGCGGCGCTCACATCTGCCCTTGCTTACTGAGCATGCCCAGCCCTCGGGCCCGAGCCACGGAGGCGTTTCTGGGGGCGGGGAGAGCGAGGAAGGAGAGTCGTGGGGAGCCTGGGGTTCTAGGCACGCCTGGAACCCTGCAGGAATGTGGCTCTACGCAAGGAAGCCGAGTTGGGGCTCTTCCAAGGTACTCAGAACTTGGAACTACCGCCCCCCTGGAAGTTTAAGCAAAAAATAAATAGTCCGACAAGGCTCTGGAGGCAGGGACCACAAGACCACCCCGACACACACCCCACCCCACCCCCATTCACTACCAAAAGAGGGAGCCAGCTTCTAGTCTTAACGCTCTAGGTAGAGAATGGATCCCCATATTCTTTCCCTACTAACCAAAAGTGTTCATGGGTTTGCATATTTAAAAGTGAAAAATTCCTTTTCTTTCCAGAGATAGCAGGGCCACGTGTATGAATGCTGTACTTTACAATACACCCAGTCAACTAGTCCATCAGACTTTACCTTGACGCTCTCTGGAAAAGCAGCTAGTTCCACTTTAGAACAGATCTAATTGTTAGGAAGTTTTTCCACATATCAAGCCTGAGACCTCTTTGCAACTCTATTCCTAGCAACTAGTTTTGCCATAAGGGGGCAAACTAATAAGTCTCAGTCAATTCAACCTCTCCTTGTTTCCTCAACTGAAAAAGTAAGAGGGTTGGAGTAGATGACCTCGGACGTCCCTTCCAGCTCCAAAACTCTGATCTCATAGTTCCAGGACCAGTAAAGAGGAGAATTCCACTGAAGGATGTCACAGATTCTTCCCAATAGGAGAGGAGGGTTTGTATAACTCATACTAGTGACAGCATAATTCATACTGGTGACAGTAGAGGAAAATAATTTATTGGGGAGAAGGAAACAAGATGGATGGGAGTTTATAAGGGGCCCAGTAAAATAAGTTTTATTTACAGTTATATTGTAATGGCAAGGCTACAGGAAAATAATCTGTTGCCAACGCCTGTCACTTTCATCTTTGCAACACTTCCAGTCATCTACCACCTCCCCTCAGACGCTGCCACCACTCTGGTGCAGGCCCTCATCCTCTCACTCCCAGACTATTGCTATAACCTGCTTGTAAATCAGCCTGCCTCAAGTGTCTCCCCACTCCAGTCCATCCTCTGATGCTACCAAAGTGATTTTCCATGTCAGCCCCCTAGAGTCAATAAATTCCAGTGGCTTCCTATTGCCTCCAGGATCAAAATCCTGCAGAGCCATTTGCAACCTACCTCCTTATTTCCCCCAACACTTACATTCTTCAGTCCGGTGACCCTGGCCTCCTTGCTGTTCCAGGAGAAAGACTCTGCATCTTTCAGCTCTACCTTTTCTCTGGCTGTCCCCTATGCCTGGAATGCTCTCCCTTCCTCTTCTCTGCCTACTGGCTTCCTTTAAGTCCCAACTAAAATCACATCTTCTACAGGAAGCTTCTAGTGCTTTCCCTCTCATTTATTTATCCTGTATATAGCTTATTCATGGGTATTTTTTTACTTATCTTCCCCCATGAGATTGTGAGCTGCTAGAGGGCAGGTCTTTTGCCCTTTTTTTGTATCCTCAGCATTTAGCACAGTGCCTGGCACAGTAGGCACTTAATAAATATTTACTGACTGATTTTATTGAGTACCTACTGTGTATAAGGAACTATGCTTTGAGGTGGTCCATGAAGATGAGTTCCCTGCCCTGAAAAAGTTTACAATGTGGGAGAGTGGGGACATGGGTAAGGCAAATATACAAATAACAAGAGTACAAGACAGAATATGTCAAATGCTATGGAGTTTGGAATAAGAGATAGTGAGACAATATCCAATTGGAGGAATTGGGGGATGCTTCATGGAAGAGGTAGCATATATAAACTAGATCTTAGATGTGGGGGGAGTGAAGCATTCCAAATAAAGAGAACAATAAGAAAAAGTAGCAGGAAAAGGTGGAGAAGAGCAGGTTCAGTAAACAATTGTCTTTTAGCTGGTTTATTTAGAGAATAGTGGAAGGCAAGGCTGGAAAGATACTGGGGAGCCTTGAATGCCAGGTTGAGAAGTTTGAACTTTAGCCTGAAGTTTTTTGAGCAAGGAATTAGCAGGACCTAAATTATGCTTTAGGGATATTAATCTCTCAACAATGAGTAGAAAGTAGTAGAGGGAGAAGAAAGTAGGAAAGATCTGTTAAGAGGCTACTTCTGGGAATAGCCTGAGGAAGAAAATTCAATTCAGTTCAATAAGCATTTATTCGTCAGTTCCTAAGTACTGGGCGCAGTACCTGGAGCTGAGGATACAAAGAAAAGAATAACAAACATTCTCTGCCCTCAAGGAATTTACTCTACTAGCAGTAGTGAGGGCTTGAACTGGGAGCAATGGCAATAGAAAAAGTAATGGTTTCAACAGACATCATGGAGATGTAATCCATATGACTTGAAAATTAATTTAAAGTAGGGGATGAACTCTCTAAAATACTGGACATTCTTTAGGTCCTAATGACCCAAAGGAGAGTGGTTTTCATAACCAGAAGTAGGAAGAAGCATGGCAGCTATGGTACCTTAGAGTTACAAAGCATCTATAAGGAAATTTGGAGAGCAACTTCCATGGAAAATACAGTAAAATGTTGTACACTGTCATGGACCATGCTTCACACCCCTTCCAGTCATCCACCCTGGCCATCTTGTCATCCCTTCTAGTGTTTCTCCCCACCTGGATCAGTACATCCAGATTAGACATCAGAAAAAAAAAAAATTTCCCTGGCCCAGGGGAAATAAATCCACTTATCTTTGGAATTCCAACCCTGGGGCCTAGCCAGATTGACTAGTGAGTGAGCAGCACAAACTCAACTAGCCTACTTACTATATTTGCCCTCCCCAAACTTCCAGATCGAACTGTACTTAATATCCCCTCCAGTCATGCACCCGGATTTCTTACTACCTATTCACCTCTGGCTCTAGATGCAGTAGTCAAGTAGAATATTATCATACTAACATTATTCCTAGAAATGGATGTGAATTGACAATCAACTCATCATCCCAGTAATTCTTAGACACTCCCTTCCTGACCACCCCTCCCACATAGGTTTTATCTTCCCCTAAACTCCCTAAGGGCCTCAAACTAGTATTTTATAGACCCCTAGCTAGTGTCCCTGTAGTGCTGGACCTGCAGTCAGGAAGACCTGAGTACTGGCTCTGTCACCCTGAGCAAATCACTTAACCTTCAGAGGCTTCAGTTTGTTCATCTGTAAGATGGGGAAAATAAATAGCATTAGCCTCCCAGAGTTGTGAGGATAAAATGAGATAGTATTTGTAAAGCACTTTGCAAGCTTGAAAGTGCTATATAAATGCTAGCATGTTCATGTTGGTATCCTCCAAATCCTTAGCACAGAGCCTGCACATAAAAAGTGCTAAATTTTATATTTTTATTTATTTGTTCATTCACCTACGGATCCTATCCCAACATACAGTTAGAACCAGACTATGAAAAGTAACATTCATGGATCCATGTATTAACGTCAAAAGACTGAAAACCACTCCTTGGAGCTGCAGGTTTTTTAAAGGTTTTTGTTGAATTAAATCGAAGTACTAGTTGCAAAGAAATGTACAATCTAAGCTCCAAGCCCCTTGTTCCACACATACATGAAACTAAGTTTTCTGCCTCTCATTCCCTAATACAATTCCCAATCAGGGCCACTAACAAAACTAAATATAATTAAGGTGAAATAGCAAGTGAGATGAAGCTTTACTCTTCCCATTCTTCCCACATATTCCTCATCTTCCCACAGACCTTAGAGGCTTAATATGTTACTAAAAGTATCTACCTCTGTTTCTTAAGTGAACCCCTGGGAACAGGGATGCAAATTACCTTCACTCACCAAGATAGCTGCCCCAAAAGAATGAGCATTTGGTGCAGAAGATTCAGTAAAGCTAATTATCAGAGATCCATACCCAGATTTCTTGCCTCCAGGTTCAGTGTTTTTTCTACCACACCCTATTGTATCACCAATGGCAAAGTGGTAAATGAAAGACTATCTTCTATTTCCAACTCTAAACTCAAACAGTCCAGGGAAAGTTGTAGGAGAAACTATTGCTGTCTGATCTATTCATTTTTTCCTAGTCTAGATCCCACTTCCTCTAATTTGTCATTACTATGTTTTCATCAATTCTTTGTGACCTTGCCATCAGAGTCAGTTGCCAGATCTACTTTAATTCTGTGCTACTTATGTCAGTCCCTATCTTCTGAGGACTTTTTTTTCCCACCTTTGTGTTATTGATCTTCCCCACTCCCAATACGCACATCCTAACTTTGAGTAAAAACATAAGATATCTTTTGGGCAGGGATCACATCTGATATACTAGCACTATTATCTTCTACCTACCAAACCTTCACTACCCATGTCCTACTTATCAAATTCAAAATCCTTCATTACCTACCAAATAAAGTTCAAACTCTTTGGCCAGGAACTCCAAAATCTAGCACCTACCTAAGTTTCCAGTTACGTCATAGTATACTCTACATTTTAGTTCACCTGAACTACTTTCCTGGGCATGTATGA